CATTGGGGTGGGGCGGGGCCATGGGGTGGGGGTGTGGCCATAGGGGCGTGGTTTGGGAGAGGAGGGGCCTGGGGTGGACTTGTGGGCGTGGCTTAGCGGTGGGAGGGGCTTAAGAGGGTGTGTCAGGCTCAGGTGGGGAAGTGGGCGGGGCTTGTTGAATATTAGATGAGGGTGTGGCTTCAGGAGTGTGGGCGGAGCTTGGCAGACAGGTGAGTGCTGGGCGGGGTTTGTGTATTGTGGGCGGGGCTTAGATGCAGTGTCAGAGTCCTGGAGGGTGTTGTGGGCGGGGCTTAGTGAGGGCGTGGTCTGTGAATGACAGGCGTGGTTTATACACAATGGGCGGGGTTTAGCACACAGGTGAGTCTGTGGGCGGGGTTTATCACACAGGTGAGGCTGTGGGTGGGGTTTATCAGACAGGTGATTTTGTGGGCGGGGTTTAGCACACAGGTGAGGCTGTGGGCGGGGTTTAGCACACAGGTGAGGCTGTGGGCGGGGTTTATCACACAGGTGAGGCTGTGGGTGGGGTTTATCAGACAGGTGAGTTTGTGGGCGGGGTTTAGCACACAGGTGAGGCTGTGGGCGGGGTTTAGCACACAGGTGAGGCTGTGGGCGGGGTTTATCACACAGGTGAGGCTGTGGGTGGGGTTTATCAGACAGGTGAGTTTGTGGGCGGGGTTTAGCACACAGGTGAGGCTGTGGGCGGGGTTTAGGCCCTGTGGGCGGGGTCTAGGCCCCGTGGGCGTGGTTTAGGTGCCGTGGGCGTGGCTGAGTGCGGTGGGCGTGTCCCACAGGAAGCTGGACGCCTTCATCTACGACGCGGCCGTGCTGAACTACATGGCCCGCAAGGAGGAGGGCTGCAAGCTCGTCACCATCGGCTCCGGAAAGGTCTTCGCCTCCACCGGCTACGGCATCGCCCTGCAGAGGGGATCCCGCTGGAAACGCCCCGTGGACCTGGCCCTGCTGCAGCTGCTGGGGGACGGTGATTTGGGGGGGGTTTGGGGGGGTTTTGGGGGGTTTAGGAAGGTCCTAGAGGGGTTTTGGGGATGTTTGGGAGGTTTTCAACACCCTGAGCTTATCCCCAGCCCCCCAAAATCACCCTCTAGCACTTTAAAATGACCCCTCAACCTCTCCAGTTATCCCCCTAAGCCCCAGAAATGATCCCAAACACCCCAAAATCACCGTTTAACACCTTAAAATGACCCCTCAGCCTCTCCAGGTGACCCCAAGGCCCCCGAGATGACCCCCAGCCCCCCCAAAATGACCATTTAACACCTTAAAATGACCCCTCAGCCTCTCCAGGTGACCCCAACCCCCCAAAAATGACCACTTAACACCTCAAAACGACCCCTCAACCCCTCCAGATATCCCCCAAGGCCCCCGAGATGACCCCCAGCCCCCAAAAATGACCATTTAACACCTCGAAACGACCCCCCAACCCCTCCAGCTGCCCCCCAGCCCCCTGCCCGCCCCCCCAGCCCCCCCTGAGCCTGGTGGTGCCCCGCCCCAGACGAGATCGAGATGCTGGAGCGGCTGTGGCTGTCGGGGATCTGCCACCAGGAGAAGCTGGAGGTGATGAGCAGCAAGCTGGACATCGACAACATGGCCGGGGTGTTCTACATGCTGCTGGTGGCCATGGGGCTGAGCCTGCTGGTCTTCGCCTGGGAGCACCTGGTGCACTGGAAACTGAGGCACCTGGGCACGCCCGGCCGGCTGCGCTGCCTGCTGGCCATCAGCAGGGTACGGGGACACGGCGGGGACACTGCGGGGGGACACTGGGGACACTAGGGGGATTGGGGACATTGGGGACATTGGGGACATTGGGGACATTGAGGACATTGGGGACATTGGGGGGATTGGGGACATTGGGGGGATTGGGGATATTGGGGACATTGGGGAACTTGGGGGGACTGGGGGGCGTGGGGGGAGTGGGGGG